AACAATGCTGAATGAACATGATTGAACACCAAGGGGGAGATTGTTAGGGATATTTTATGGTGTCCAATCCTGATAAATATCTTTGTATTTGTGTAGCTATTTTGTCTAGATATTTTAGCCCATTGGGATCTTTGTTAGCTATTATTAGACTATCTTTATTAGGAAATATGTAAAGTGTGCTATTGGGCCCAATCAATAAAAGAGCCCAATCATGCTTAGGTCACATCACACATTCCCTAGGCATATAAATATTGCCTTTAAGGGAATGTGCGAGGAGGCTTTTTACACGGATTATTCACGCGCATATCATTGTAGTGAGAGAGAGAGCACAGTTTACTTCTCGATACCCAGAGCTGTAATTCGAAATCTTTATTTGGTATTGAATAGAAGTTGTATCTTCTCTACTCCATCCATATTCCATTAGTTTGATTGTTGATAAAGGGACAAACAGGATGACAGCCAGGAGTAGATACCTCATGCCTTACGGGGCGGGGTGTTACAGGTGGTATCAGAGCAACCCTGCGACAGTGTGTTGATCTATTGGATATCCGGCGGGCATTTAGTAGGGGAGGATTATGGAGTTTGATTGAGATTAGTTTATGGGCTCAATGAGGACGTTGTGTTCCTAAGTGAGGGTGATTGTAATACTTGAGATTTAATTGAAATGGATTTATAACAATAAGGTGCATGTCGTTTTAAGGGGGCTCATCGACTAAGAACTCTAAGTTAAGCGTGCTTGCACGAAAGTAGTCTTGGAATGGGTGACCCCTTGAGAAGTTTCTCAGGGCGCGCACGAGTGAAGACAAAGTGTGCGTTTAAGGATTGTGGTGGTTTGTGAGGACAATACTAGAGGTCTGGATGACATTCGGAAGTAGCTACCTTGGTCCCTACGGGGAAGGGTGATACAAAATCACTATCTTTAAATGTTTTACACTTTTCAGATTCTAGTATGTTATAAGCATCACGCTTGGTGAATCCGAGAGTAGTAACACCACCAGCCTATTTTTGAAGCATACAGTGAATATGAGAAACATTTGTCCCACTCTCCTTCATCAGCATAATAAATTCAAGATGCTTATGATCAGTACCTCTATGTAATTTCAGAAGGTATCTTTGACCAATTGGACAAAAAACATGGTTATGACCAATAATATATATGCTTTGAAGCAGCGGTCACATCTTAATAGGACTATGTCTCAAACACGAGTGAAGCTTTGGTAATTTGACTAAAGATTTGACTGAGGGCGTATACTAGTATTTTAGAGAGGCTAGAAATTTTTCGTTATTCTTTGGGTTGGGATTTATCGTTATTCTTTGGGTTGGGTTTTTAGCGATCGTTTTGTCTTTTTATTTGTTTATCTTTCTGCATTTTCTTTTCTTTTTGCTTTTTTCTCACTTTCCTTGTAACTCATTCATTTTATTTAATAAAGATTCTATAAAAAAGAATATGCTTTGAAACAATCCATTCACCATCAATACTAACCGGAAACTATAACCTCGCTCTACAACCTGAACAATAATCTAATTTCGTCTAAACTTTGTTCTCAGTACCCTTTTGTATTTTCTTCCCTTCTTTCCAACAACAGTAACACTTCATAACTTGATGTGACTTTTCTTACACTTAAAATATATAGTTGTATTGAGCTAAGGTACGAGTATCGTCTTCACAAGGACGAAAAAAGAAATCAAGTATTAAATAAATTCAGTGAATAAAATAAATAAAAAATCAGAATGTGCGAGATTTGGTTTTAGAAAATTAAACGATGCATGACCTTACTTGAACGGGATCTGTTCTATAGGACTGTACCTTTGAGTCCTTGAATTATCAAGAGACCAGAAAATTAAACGATGCGAAAATAAAGCTAAATTAAAGGTTCATTCTAATTATTGACGAAAGGGATTAGGGATTGATTTCGGGGTAATCGGATTTCGGGTTGATCAGGCTTAATAACATGAAAATTATTTAATTGAGCAACGTTGATCAATACTAAGTTCTTCCCGCTTGCGCGGCGTAGAGTACAATAATTTAGGGAACCAGACTTATCTCTCATGCGACAAGTTTCTAAATTATTGTCAAAGCGAGCGAGCGTACGACTCCCTAATCGTTACTAATCTCCTAACGAGTGATTAGGTGTGTGTGTGTGTGTGTGTGTGTGTGTGTGTGAAAGTGTCCTAGAATAATTTAGATCTCTGATCTTTTAAATTATTTTATGTGCATTTATAATCCTAGCGGCCGTTCCATGTTACAAACGATGACAACTAAATTATTCAAACACAAATTAAATAAAGATCATGCAATCAAACCATCAAGAAAGAACCTTAGATCGTGATTAACATTCACCCTCTTCATCAATCCCAAATCCCTAGTTAAATCTACTCAAATTGCGTAATTGAAAAATCAACAGAATTGAGAAAGAATGAATTGATTGTCATTAATTAAAAATGATAAACTTTCAAATTATAATCCCAAGGTATTAAAGATCCAAGGTGGAAATCGTCTGAAAATTTCATCCTAAGCACTCTCTATAATCTCTATATATCAAAATAGAGGTTTACAAACTGTTTAAATAGATAACGGATGAAGTTAGGCTGAAAAGGGACTGCTGGAGCGCAAACACCCGTGTGCGTGGTGTCTGTGCGTCCAGAGTAAAAATGCTGACAGACTGTCGTGCACGGCGTGCATGGCCTCCAATAGTCTCTCCGTGATTTCTTCTTCCGTTCACGGAGTTCCTACTTCGTGTGAACGGAGTACGCCTCTTCCGTACAAATTTGACTATGATTCCTTAGCCATGCGTGATTTCTTCTTCTGTGCACGGAGTGCGTACTTCGTGTGAACGGAGTATGCCTATTCCGTGCGAATTTGACTATGCTTCCTTCACCAAAGTTGTACATAATGAAATCCTCTATCCACCACAACTTGCAACACTAGATTTGGATCATCCATTTAAAAGATATGGATAAAATGGTAGAATGTCGCATCATGCAATCTCAACAGCGATTGTTTGACTTCCTCGTTTGTTTTCTCCTTGATCCACTCACATTCTCGCAATGACGTCCACATATAACTTGTAGTCCTTTAATTTATTTTTCATGTGAAACTTGAATTGTGTGAGTTTGATGTTTCTAGGAAAAGATATGCTTGAACAATTGACAAAAGGTCACGCTGATCGCCATTTTCGAGCTTTATTCGTCCCTGTTTGATCTCGTACTTGATCCTTGAGCTCCCTTGACTTCAAAATCACTACTTTAATGACTCGTGGACCTTCAATACTTCTCAATAACTCTCAATAGCTCCTTTCAGACAACTTTAAGCTATGGAAACTAAAAAAAATCTATCCCAACACGCATTAAATGTGTGTCGAAATATGGACTTATCATAATTTAACCAAACTTAAATTTCCACTTTTAAATCTCCATTTTCCAAAGCATGATTATTGTAAAGATTATAAGCATCACACTTAGACATTAACCCCATCAAGTGATTTACTCTCAATTGCATGTTGTAACAGTTTTGTCTGAAAAATCACAAAGCCTATATATGATAATAAACCGAAACTACATACGTTGAAGCGAAGTTACATACAAAAGAACTGAATTATTGAGAAAAACAATATGTCATGTCTCTACCATATTTACTTGAACCAAAATTGAAAATGCTTCATCACTCCTTATAACTTATCCTTTTTTATACTAATAAGTAGAATAAAAAGTGAAAAAGTGTGATTGAAATCTGGAATAAGAAAAAGAAACAAAATTGTTCACAATGAATTATTTCAAAGAAAAAGTGGTAATATTTTTTTAGATATGCAACCAAATAAAGAAAATTAACAAGTATCATAAATTGGATGGATGTACTTTTAATTTTCCAAGAATAGAGAAAGATTTATTTGGTAGATTTTGAGACTTCATTTCACCTGATTAGCATTTGTTAAATACAACAAAACTTAAATATTTTTCATCATCCAGTACTATATGTTTAGCAAATGAGTATTTACTACAAAATATGTCGATCAAATTTGAGTTGGATTCAAAAATTAATCAAATTTATTAATCAAAAACTTACAGACCTCGGTAATTTTGTGATTGTGAGCACAATGTTCTACATCTTGTCCACAAAATCTAAGCACTCGTACTTCATGGCACCAACTAACAAATTATTCAATCACAGACGTACGTTCTAAAATAAGTAAAAAAATAGGAAAAATGATCAAATTAGTTATGATTGAAATAATTGAAAGAAATGAATAGAATTAGACAATAGAAAAATGGAAAAGTATAATAATGTGACAGAGGAAGTAAGTTTTAACAAGTCCATACGAGTAACCTACGAGAGGTTTTCATATTCGAGGGGAGAGAAGTAAACTGCGTCAGGGTCAGTCTTCTTAATATGTAATGAGAATTATTGACATGTCCTAGCTTATGTATTGACTCGCCTGATTATTTATTGATGAAAAGGTTTTGATTCCACAATTATCATTGGTCTCATTATATAGCAGATTTTCTTTCAAATTTCAATTTACAAAATTCCTAATCGTCAGTTTCTAGGCACGGTCAACATTGCCATGCCAAGAGTCATTTCAAGAAGTGGATTGGAGATTTTTATATGTGACGACGAAGGTCGTGCTTTCAATACCACTAATAATGTGATTTATAAATAAGTTTTTGTAAAGTATAAACATTTATGATTCTTTTGTTTTGAGATTTGAAATTATTTAAAATTTATTGAGTAAATGTGATGTGACAATGATGTGTAATAGAAAACCCATTTTTTTAAGATCATGAATGAATATGCTCTTAATAAACTTATGGAGTAGTAATAATTAGGAAACTAAATTATTACGTAGTAATAATTTATTATTATTCTGATTATAAATTCCAATTTAAACAGAATTAGGAAAGTGAATTAATTAAACTTGGCAACTACGGAAGTTCATACGTAGTACGGTACTACGTATAATAAGGCCTATAAAAAGGAGTCAAACCGGTAGCTAGCCGGCCATCTAACTATCTGTACGTCTCAATATAATTTCTCATACATAATTTGCATCTCACGGCCAGGCGAAACATGGATTGTTCCCAATTCGAACAGCAGATTTCCCTGTCATCTCCGCCAATGGCGTCGCAGCTTCCGCCGCTTCATTTGCTGACAATGGCTTCTACTTCTCTCTACATTCCAAAAGAAAATCCAAAAAGGCCCCTCGGAGAAGACTCCCATTTCACCCTGGTCCAAAAAGGCAGATCAACCTTTGGAGTGGCCGACGGAGTGGGCGGGTGGGCCGCGAAGGGCATCGACGCCGGGAAGTTCGCGAGGGAACTGATGATTAACGTGACGGAAGTCCTAGAGCTCGCGCCACCGACTACTTCCGTAAACCCTAAGCGGGTCCTAGAAAAAGCGTTCAAGAAAACCTCCTCCGCCGGGACTTCCACCGCGTGCATCGTCACCCACGCGGCGGGGACCGACACTCTGAAGGCAGTGAACGTAGGAGACAGCGGGTTTTACGTGATAAGAGGCGGGAAAGTGGTGTACCGATCTCCGGTGCAGCAGAGGAGGTTCAACTACCCGTATCAGCTGGGGAAAGACGTCGGTGATGGGCCGAGCGTGGCCCAGGAACTTGAAGTTAAGGTGGAGAAGGGAGATTGGGTCGTGGCCGGGACGGATGGGCTTCTGGACAATGTGGACGTGGCCGAGATTGAAGAGGCTGTGGATGAGACGTACGCCATGGGAGGGGGGTCGCATATGGCGGAGAGCTTGACGTTATTGTTGGGAAACATTGCTTTGAACAATTCGTATGATAGGAAGAAGGAAACGCCATTTTCAAGGGCTGCAAGATTGGCCGGATTGAACTATTCAGGAGGAAAGATTGATGACATTACTGTGGTTGTGGCATACATCAGTTAAATTTTTTGTGATACGGAGTATGAATTAACTTGATTTAGGCCTTGTATATTACACATTGGAATTGTATGAATGATTTTGAATGTATATAGTACTCCCTTCTCTAATAATGGTTTTTGTTAAATTTAAAGCTTTTCCTACTGATTGGGTCACGAAGCAAATTTTGTTTAGTTCTAATTAATAACTATCCTCCTCGCTCAGATTGGATTGTTTAGTTCTTAAATTTTACTAGTACTTATTATACTTCTTTATTTGGAATGACTGATAATATGGTTTTGAGTGTATATATGATAATATGAATTCATTATCAATTATTCACGCCATGTATTTCCCTGCTCTCATGGCCGCTGTTTGTTCCAATTAAAGTTCTTAGAGAGGACTTATTTGAAGGTAGACAAACCCTTTTGTTTCTTTTTCATATGTAGTATACATTTTTTAATTTACATTAGTAAATTGCCTAGTAATTCGAATATAGGAGTCGCCAAATGCTCTGGTAACTTATCACTCAATTCATTAGTTATCCACTTATCCAAGCATTTTCTTTCTATCACAATTCCATATTTTGTATCCAATTTACTTTTTCAAAACTTTCTTGTCACTTTCCAGTTTGAGATAGTCTCAAAATTTTCCTTGCAGTTCGCTATGATCTTCGTTCATGTTAACTGCACTGCCGGTATTATATTTCTGGTGGACACATTAACCCGGCACTCTGGCAGTGACGTCCGGGCTGTTCTTGGCTCGATCGAAAGGTGTCGTTGGTCCGAGCCATCATGTACATAGTGGCTCAATGCCTAGGGGCAATGTGTGGGTGTGGGCTGGTGAAGGCTTTCCGGCCAGAAAGCTCACTATATGTAGCACGGAAACTCTTGAGAAAGATTACGTAAATTTCCGGCCGTTTCGGAAACTCTTTGGAAACTCTCCAAACCATCCTTTTTTGGACAAAAGTTGACGTTTCCCATTTCCTGTTTTCTCATGATTTTCGTGTTTTCGTGCAACATAGGTATAACACAGGCACTGGATTGGGTGCTGAGATTATTGAAACTTTTGTTCTTGTTTACACTATCTTCAGGAGCAATGCCTAGCTAAACTGGTGCAGTGGAGTGTGAGCCAATTGCATGGAGGAATTGTAAATACAAAGAGCAATGATTGGCCAAGAGGATATATAGTTCTGTTACTAGCTGGCTCTGTAGATTTGGCACTTAGCTTGGGGTTTTTAGAGTGCCAAGTCAAGAATGTGATTGTTTCCACTTTCTCCAGTTTGCCTTTCACTTTCAATCCCTTCTTGTTTTGGCTCTGTACTCTTTGACATCCTGTTGTCATGCACAAGTAAACAATAAATGGCTTAGCTCATCTTTGTTAGATTTAGAGCCAGTTGGATGGAGGAATTGTAAATACAAAGAGCAATGATTGGTCAAGAGGATATAGAGTTCAGTTACTAGCTGGCTCTGTAGATTTGGCACTTGGGGTTTTTAGCTGCCAAGTCAAAAATGTGATGATTTCCACTTTCTCTAGTTTGCCTTTCACTTTCAATCCCTTCTGTTTTGGCTCTGTACTCTTTGGCATCCTGTTGTCATGCACAAGTAAACAATAAATGGCTTAGCTCATCTTTGTTAGATTTAGCTTAAAACAAAAACAATACCAGCAGGTCTAAGAACAGAGAAAGCAAAGGAAGAAACGGAAAGAGATATGGTAGCTTACGCGGAGGAGAAGTGAAGACAACAAAAGAAAGAAGAGATGGATGATGTAGCAAAGCTCCAGAAAGAAATTAGGGTTTATAGGAATGATTCGCTGACTTGAATAGTAACGGTACAAAATAAACGGCTTTTTCCTGCCATGTCAGCTATTTTTAACGCTAGAATTAAAGATGTACTAAACCAACCCAAAAATATCAAGTTTATGTACTTTGGGGTGTCTAATGCTCGGTGAAGTACTCTTTATGCTATCTATGACAAGCTTAAATACCATTTTGATTATTTTCTCGTATTAAAATTGATTTGAACCATTAAGTCGAAAATGATTCAAGCGAATAAGTCACTTTATAATTCAAGTCCCAAGTAAACACAATGATATAGCTCAACGAATAAAGTCCATTAAGTCAACGGGACCTTAATTAGCCTAAGTAAGACAGTATAGGAGGGTAGAGTGAGCTTAAATAATTTGGATTATTGCTCCATTTATGCACCTTAGACCTTAGTTGTACACAACTCAGAATCTGGAATCGGTCGATCGGGCCACCTAAGACAAATCTTTGTTGCTTAAACTTAATTCCCCCTTTGTCAAAAAAAAAGAGGGGTAATTTGAGTTTGCATCCCAAATTATTATCTAAATTGGACTATGCATCCCGTTTTTAAAACTCTTTGTTTTTGCACCCCAACCCCATATGAAAAGACAAAAATGTCCCTCCATTAACAATTATGTTGACCTTCAACATATTCCTGATAGAGGGCATTTTTGTTTTTTCATATCGGGTTGGGGTGCAAAAACAAAGATTTTAAAAAATGGGGTGCAAAGTCCAATTTAGATAATAATATGGGGTGCAAACTCAAATTACCCAAAAAAAAAATATTGATTCTGCATATTGATTATTCTAGAATAAAAATCATATAGATCTATTATTTGATTTATTTCAATTATCCCGATGCAAAACAAAAGCATTAGTTCTATAACCAATACACTACTCTACTGATCATACTTTCATGTCTCAAACAAGTACTCCATATATATATGCTTTGTTATTTTTCTCTGTGCTACTCCGTATTATTTTAAACTCCCATGTCTCGTAAAATGTGACCAATTTGACTTTTTAGGTGGAATAATAGAATAGAAATTGTATGATTAAAATTTAGTGATAGACAGTTGTAGTAGACAATGGGCATTCTATTTTACAAAAGTTAGTGATGCACAAGGGTACGTTATAAGTTTATTGTAGTAGCCAATGCAAATTCTACTTTAATTTGTTAGTATTAACTATTCAACATTTAATGGTTAATGTTGAATTTACATGCAGATCAGAATTAAAAATACATGCCATATATGTACTTCGTATGTAAATGATTCTTGTTGTACAAATAATTAAGAGACAAGGAGCCGGGATCTATTGATGTTGCAACAAAAGCTTGAACTAGCAAGTAACACTGGCCAATTAGTTTCTTTCTCTTTCTGATGTCGATCAATATTAAAATTGACACCATTATAAAGTACTCCCTAAGTCCCTAGTAAACCCTTAATGCCATACTCCATAATGCCAAAGCTAAGAATATCAAATCTCTTGTAGTTAGGTAAAGAAGCAAATTATTTATTCAAACTTAAATTTATTAAGAAAGTAGTATAGATTGTGTTCAAAATTTACAAACTCTTTGGATAGTTATTTGAGTACAAATACTCACACTCACACACATTTGTATAGACAGGCGGAGCCCGGGGATTGAGCCGGACAGAGGCGGTACAAAAAATATTTCTTACATTGGGTCAAGACCTAGGTTGACCCCCCTAAATCCCTATGTTTATATATGTGTAACTAAAAAATAATAATGAATTTTGAAATTAATAAAATGCTTCAAATCTAATAATAAGTCATACAAGAACTGGGCGTGAATTCAACTAGAGCCAAAAACATTAAGCTTGTTTAAGTTCTCGAACTCGAACCATTACATTAATTTCAAACTTAAGCTTGAGCACACCCAGATTCGAGCTCGAATGATTTGCAATTCGGTTAATAAGAATGTATTTTACTATTGAAAAATTCATGTCAATTGCAACATGGACATCACATTCATCATTGGTGTGATCAATATCTTATGTTACTGGTGTAATCAAATATTATTATTTGGTGTTAGATACTTGGGGTGAACGATACACTCTGCATTTGTATAAAGTACCATTACTATATTCCAATTGTTTTTAATCTTTTACTTCATTTATCCAACATTTATCAAATTTGATTTTTCTTTTTGTGAGTTTATAAAAAATTTAATTTAGTTTTTAAATATGCAAATTTTATGAAGGGCAACGGATCGCCGCAGAGACGGAGGCAGTGGGCATTCCAGATGCCGTTCTCAAGGCGGTGGAAGAGGGTTGGGAAAGAGTAGTAATTGAGTCAGATGCTTTAATAGTTGTTCAAGGGATTATGAAGGGTAGCGGATCGGCTTATTTACATTTGATTGTTGATGATATAAAGCATACGTTAGAATTAAGAGTAATTATGTTGTCTCTTTTGTAAACTATCTGCGAATTGTGCGACTCATGCGCTGGCTAGAGCACACGTTTTGATCTCAGATCATAGGACTATATATAATGAGGCCCATCTCTCTATTGTAAGTTAGTTGGCGAACGATTTACTTGATTAATGGAGTTGTTTGTTTTGATTAATGATATGAATTAATTAACTTAATGAACCGTCAAACGTTTAAGTGGGACGAAGGGAGTAATAGGTAATCACAAAAGTACTTACAAGAGTTAAATTCTAAACTTATGAAATGTATTTAAATAATTGGGACGAAAGATAAGTCTCTTCTCAAGATGAATAAACCAAACAACAATTATACGTTCTCATCAAACTCATCCGCTAAACATTGTCCCGATCATATGACAGCTAAGATGCGAGCTACTTATTCCAAATTTTTAAAACGAAACAGATAAGTCATCAAAACTTTACAATCCTTGAAATTTGGCCTAAGAATATTGAAAACTCAAAAAGTTGAAAAGAAAACGAATTGTTCTCATTTTGCTCTTTACAATAAAAATGGGGTTGGGACTTTTTGCCAAGTTCAAACTTGAAAACGAAGTTCAATTTTCCTCATCTGGATCCACCGGGCCTTTGGTCATGATCTTCATCATCATACACGTAAGCAAATCCTCCATGTCGGGTCAAGTCCATACCCGACATTTCATCCTCCTCCGAGATCCGCAACAGATTCAATTTATGTAGAATGTAGAAAAGAGGACCCATTGTGACACTTACCCATCCGAAGATTACCAAAATCTGGACCACATGGGCCGCAAGAAGCTTCCCGCCACCGCCCATAAACAACCCGTAAGGCCGGCCCGGCCTGTAAACCTCATTAACGTACTTTTCCTTCGCGAATAACGCCGTGAATATAATCCCCCAAGCCCCACAACCGCCGTGCAGCTGCGCCGCCTCTAATGGGTCGTCGTATTTGAGTTTCTCCGCCAGCTTATTAAACCCAATCAATACCAACGCCGCCACGAACCCGCAAATGATCGCCGCCCACGGGTCCACGACGGAACACCCGCCGGTGATTGCCGCGAACCCGCCCAAGAGCCCATTGCACACGTCGGTGACGTTCCAGTGCCCCGACAAAATTCTTTTCACGAACAAGGTTGTTAGGGCGGCGGTGCACCCTGCCAAAGTCGTGGTGACGGCGGTACGGCCTACCGCGCTCCACTGGCCGTAGAAGCCGCCGCCGGGATAAGCGACCATTATTTTGGTAAATGACCCGGGATTGAACCCGTACCACCCGAACCACAACAAGAACGTGCCCAGAACTACTAACGACGCGCTATGACCGCGTAGAGCAACGGATCGACCCGAGCGATCGAATCTGCCGATTCTCGGGCCTTCGATTATTGCGCCGTATAATCCGGCTACTCCACCCACCATGTGAACGACTCCCGACCCGGCAAAATCAATGACTCCGGATCCGAATAAGAGATCTGAATTATTGGTCGGGCTGGCCCACCCGTCTACGTGCCAGAACCAATGGGAGACGACCGGGTAAACAAAGCCGGTGAGAAAAGCAGAGTATATCAGATAAGCCACAAACTGGGTCCGCTCGGCAATTGAGCCGCTCGTTATACCGGCGGCGGCTATGGCGAAAGCCCACTGGTACAGAAAATTAGCGTAATCCATCCCGGCGTCAGCGTCGGGGATGCCCTTCAAGCCGAAGAAGTAATTTCCGATGAAGCCGTTGGATTTCTCACCAGTCCCGAAGGCAAAGGCGAACCCGAAAAGGTAGTAGAAGAGTCCGCCGGCGGCGGCGTCAAGGACGTTGGTGAGCATGATGTTCATGGTGTTCTTGGCGCGAACTGAGCCAGCGCAGAGCATGGCGAAGCCGAGCTGCATAGAGAAGACCAAGTAAGCCGAGAAGAGGAGATAAGTGGAGTCAACGGCGTAACCGGTGATGACGAAAGCATCGTAGACGTCGGAAAACTGCCGGCATATGAAGGAAGCAGCGGCGGAGGCGTTGGTGGTGTTGGGTCCAAGAAGTGAAGCGAGCTGATCGGCGGCGCAGCTCAGGGACGCCATGGCTTGAATTGGTTTTGCGGCTTAGGCTGAAGCCAGTAATATAGAGCCCGTTTGGAGACCTCTTTTTTCGCCTTATCAGGCTTATCAGCCAGCTTTTTCACCAAACACGTAATTTTTACTATCGCGTGTTGAATTGTGTAATAAGCAGAAAAAGTAAGGTTGGAGTTACTTTTCTGGCAGTATTGGCTGAAGTTACTGTAGATGACCATTTTAGCTATTTTTACGTGTAATTTTTTCTTTATTTTATTAATAAAATATATTTTTAAAACATTTTTTTCTAGAATCAGCAAAATCAGCCAAAACAGCCACTTCAGCCAGAACTTCATAAATTTCAGCAGAAACAACCAAAACAGCCGATTTTCGTGCTACCATACGGGCTCATAGTGCGCGGGGTAGGCAGGAAAAGAATTTGCTATGGAATGGGACGTTGACTTTTCAAAGGTACCACAACCGTACAAGTCAGATTTCTTTGACCAGGATACTTGACTTTTCGTTGTATTTTAATCAGACTAGTACTCCGTCTCCGTGTACTAGTATAATTGAATGTATTTTCGTTGTTTTTAGGATTAATATATTTATATTAGTCCTTGTGGTATTGTGACACCAATTCGTAATTGTGTTAGATTTGATGGTTAGGATTTTTTCTATTGGGCCGTAGTTTGCTGGTGTGATCTGGTCTAATTTGATTTGTTTAAGTCTGATCTGGTTTAGTCTGAACTGATTTAATCTGATAAATGTTTGATCTCTGTATATTTTATAATTGTTCAATTCTAGTTCGATCTGGGTTGTTTAGGTTTGGTTTGGTCTTTTTATGTCAGATCTAATCTGATATTATTTGATATGGTCTAGGATCTAAAACAATCCAGAAGAAAACATCCTTAATTCTTGGTATTGATTTCTTTTACTTTTAGTTGTATGCAGGGGCGGAACTAGCAAGGGGCTCGGAGGTGCTTGAGCCCCTGCAGTTGTTTTTATTTTTATTATATATATATATATATATATATATATATATATATATATATATATATATATATATATATCAAATATAAAATTTGTAAATTGTAAATATCTATAAAATGTGTGTTATACAGTAATAATCACTATGTTAACAAAAAGACACTGTAGTGGAATGGAGGAGGTGTTGCATCTGTCTTGGATTACAAAAGTTCTAGTGATCGAATCCCAGCTCAACTTTTTTATATTTTGCTTTACTTGTGTCCTTTTTAAGCTCTAAACTAATTTACTAGTGCACGGGTAGGAATCACAATTTTGCTATCTAGCTTTCTCATCAAATCGGTTTATCATATTTAATTTCTTTCTTTTTGGTTTCATAAAAAATATCATTTGATCTGGTATGTAATTAAAAGTGTGATTTCTCAATTTATTTTTCAAGATATTATATCCTAGAATAAAATATATATGTAGTATATTCTAGATGGTGGATGCAACATATTTCGGAGTCCTGCGCTTTCCCATTAAGTGCCCCTCCAGAGTCCCCGGGTTCCGCCACTGATTGTGTGATCATAGAAACAACACTTTTAATTGTGACACGTTTTAAAACTCATTATAATGTTACGTTAAATGAATTTATCAATCCAAAAGTTAAAAGAGAAATTCTTATGACAAAAGATCTGAAAGATAAAATATATAAATCTAGCATATACCTTCATAAATTTAATGAAGACGGTTTACTAGCATACCTTCATAAATTTTAAATATCCAAGATGGAATTTACCGTTCTAGAACGAATTATGACATAGTACCAATGACCGTTTGATTTATACGAAGTACAAAGATAATTTGTATGTACTACGGAGTAGTATTTTACAGTAAAACAACACTAGAAATATACCTCCCAAAGTCGTCGTGATTTTTAAATAATTGCTAATAAATTTGAAATTATTTCGTACAATGTAATTAAAACAATACTTATGAAAATAAATATGATTTAGCAAGTTTAATTGATTATAATTGTGTTCATAATAGTTATGAGCATACTTTTATAGAGAAAGAGTGTTTTATTTTCCGGAAAAAAAATTTATCCGAACGAACAAAAGATAGAATTGTCATTGTTCTAGGACAGAAAAAACAGATCAAACAAAGGGACAACAAAGTTTGTGCCACGCACAATTAATGTCCTTAAACCAATTTGTAGCCTCTTCACGATGTTATTAGGAGCATTGCAGCGTCGGTTTCTCATTATACGATGACAAACAGACAACTCTATTGAGCACACAATAGGTTAAACCGGTGAACTGGAACAAAGGATAGAACTGAGAGAGTTTTATCAGAAGGTTGACAGAGTTTTTCGTTTGAAAAAATAAATGTATAGCTCATATATTGGGGGTATTTTGTGTGTTCAATGTTCTCAGTGTGTTATTGACAAACACTTGTCAGCCATATATAGGGGAAGAGGAGTCTTATGTATTAATCATTCATTCAACACACAATTAGTATGTGAAACCGCCCATCAAACAGACACTTATTGTTTTTAATGGTCTTGAACGTTTCGGGCCATTAACCACGTAATTAAATCATGTTTTAATCACGTTTTATAGTTTCTAAATGTCAGGCAACATTTGAAACCTTGGTAGTTCGAACGAGAGATTAAAACGTCCATTAACCGACGGTAGTTCTACATTTAGTTCTACCTTCAAAATTTTCCTATTTCTCTATCTCAACAAGTGCATTTCGAGGATCAATATCTCATTCACTTATAATCCGTTTTGAGTGTACCACATATCGAATTGAACCCTTTAAAAAGGAGAATCTGAAACCACTTAGATCCGACCCAAATCGGAAGTAGAGCTCACTCACAAATCTGCCTGAAAATGATCATTTAATGCATTTTTAATACAATTTTTCTAACACTTTTATAGTTACTAAGATGTAATATTTGAATCTAATTATGATGATTATGGTTACAAAATCACATTTTTATCTATGGTTTCATAATATATTAGAAATTATTTCTACAATTTGTAATTATAAAAAATTATACCTGCAACTATCGTTGTATCACTTAATGGATTGATATTTGTTTTTTTTAGGGAAAACAGTCAAATAGGTCCTCGGACTTTCATAAAAAGGTCGATTAAGTCCTTCTATAGGAGGTTCTGTACGACCGTCGCGATTTGGGGAAGTTCCCGGTGGAATTTTTTGATGAAATTTTTTGAGCATCTTATTCAGCAAGTCTAGTTTACTCATACCGAATTTCAGCTAAAAATTCAATCGGGAACACATTCAAATTAATTCTTGAAGATAACTGCGCATTTTTGAGTTCTCGAATTAATTTGAATGTGCTCCCGATTGAATTTTTAGCTGAAATTTGGTATGAGTAAACTAGACTTGATGAATAACATGATAAAAAAAATTCATCAAAAAATTCCACCGGGAACCGCCCCAAATCGCGACGACCAGGCAGAGTCTCCTATAAAAGGACTTAATTGACTTTTTTATGAAAGTTCGAGGACTTATTTGACAGTTTTCCCTTTTTTTTATGGTAGGATTGATATTTTTAATTACCTAATAGAATGGGATATTAAACGTAATTCGTATATATAGTCCAATCTATTAAAATGACGCATGAATCTTACGCTGTGTTAGGATGGAGTGTTATGAAGTGTTAGTAATATGGAAGTGTTAGTAAGTGTAGACAGTGGTTCGGAAGGGAAGGTAAGTGTAAAGTGTTAAGTATAAATTAACCCTGTTTGGAAGAGTAAAAAAATGGAGTGTTAGTAAAGGAAGTGTTTTCACATAAATTTACAAAAATAACGTTATGCTTTTTAAATCTTAATTTATAAAAGGAGAAATACGGAAGGAGGCGAAAAGAGCATTGGCGGCCAACATCAATCCATTCATCTCATGTTGCCCATGGATTCCAGCTCCGGTAATTGAATTTGATTCACTTAGGTATCCGGAGAAGCCCTGTAAAAGAACATTTCAAGTCTCCGCCTACCTCTCAAATCTCAGCCGTCGGAAATGGAGATCGTCGGTGGGTGGCAAAGGCTGTTTCTGGGCGGATTAGCCTCGTGGGTGGTGCTTTCTTGTACTATGTATATCTCATATATACACACATCAATCTATCCAGGGGTGGAGCCAGACTTTAGTATGAGGGGGGGCGGAGTATAATCTATATTTAAACAACCGGACTGGGAGGCGACCCGGACAAATGATCGGGTCAAGTGTCAACCCAGACCCGGAGGGTTAACCCGGTCAACACAATATTTGTATATATATACATGATTAAATTTGTAAAGTAAAAAATATTTTACTTGCTCATTAATAAAATATTATTATCTAGTATACAATTTTTAAGTAAACCATGAATGTATTTGAAATTAGAAAAACAAAAAAATAAACATAAAATTAATCATACATAATAAAAATCTTGCACAAGTATATTTTCCACTTGTATTTGCAGTATTATACTTATCAAGTACTCCCTCCGTCTCATAAAACTTTGTCAACTGGAATCACAAATTCCTTACTTAAAGGGGAAAGTGACAAAGTTAATGGGATATCTAAAAAGAAAAGTTGGTAAAGTTTTAAGGGACGGAGGGAGTATTACGTAGTATATAATATGTATTACGGAGTATTGTATACTACGTATAATTTAATAGGACATCTAATAATATGTATTATTAGTTTTCATATAATGATAATAGGCCAAGGATAAGTATTCTTAAAAAGCCATATAATTTGGTTGTACTAGAGTCTTCCTTAATTTTATGGGGGGGGGGGGCAATTTTTTGTAATAGTAATATTTTTATTTAAAAAATAAAAAATTGGGAGGGGCAATGGCCCCCCTCACCCAATACGTAGTTCCGTCCCTGAATCTATCACATATATATAAATCAAACATATAAGGAATATATAAAATCTGGCTCTGAGAGAACTAACCTGGAATAACAAATGATGAATAGATGAGATGAAGGCTGAAAAGTGAGAGAGACGAGTAGAAGAGATTGCCGCAGAAGAGATGGAGGCAGATGAGC